CCATCCCGTCGAATATATATACCAATGTCATCGTCGACAAGTACAAATATAAGATTAATGCGAATAACACAAAGTACCGTAAGAAAACACAATTGTTACCAATCGACTCAAAGTACTATATTTAACAATTCACTATTATTTAAGCAAACGAGACTGGCAAATCGCCACAAAAGACAATCCAATAAACATTACATACTCCTAACGTTTTAAAAAAGAAAACGTACGAAAGGCTATTATATCTGAATAAACAATGAACAATGTTTTCCCTGGCGAAACAATAAATCATGACGCTGTACCTAGATTGCGAACCGGAAAGAAACGACATAACTATTAAAACCACGATTGAAAAGAACACTTTTGTCATTAATTCAACAACAAAAAACATTCAAAACAAAACTAAAACAAAAACAAATTGTAACATTAAAGATAGGAAAAGATCAACTAACTGAATAATTAAAGAATAAAAAGAAACAACCAACATGTAAGACATACCGAAAAACGACCGTAAATTTGTATACACGTGTAATATGTTATATGTCCATAAAAACTCACATTGTAACTAGGAACTATGTAATTAAAAACCGTTTTAACCGACATCCCTGAAAACAAGATCCTATTGTTATATCTTTACTGTTTTCGCATGCATAACCACGATAACCTGAAAAATCCGGTGTCCTACAAATCTCAACCGGCTGTAATACAATCCCAGAAATAAAAAACAAGAAAATAATAAAAACCAAAGACGGAGATACAGATCATAAAAAGTTAGAGAAAATACGATAGAAAAACCTTTTTGCATAGAAGAACGATACAACATATCGACCGAAATAAAATTAAAAACCGAAACCGAATATGATACACGGATTAATTAACTGTCCAATCAAGGAAAACGCGCGTAACAAAATAAACTTGAACATCGGCCGATACAGAGGCTCAATATAAAAATTGATAACGAACTCGAATGATACACATGCCGGAAAAAGTGAAACCGCGAAACAAAGTCGAAAAACAAGTACGATCGAACCATCTGACAAACGACGACTGTGAGAAAAGAA